ARGRRGKTYHTTWAMMWTYMAAWKGGAAGAGAATACTTCTRTCAATTCCCACATAAATRAGGTCACAAAATTAATCAATCAATTGRCATMARTTAAGATTACTTTTAGTGACGAAGTGAATGYTATTCAGTTGCTAACATCTTTACCTRAAAGTTGGGAAACRATGAAGACARCAGTGTCCAATTCGTTAGGAGAYAAATCTTTGAAATTTTCAGAAATTTGTGATSCGRCAATTGCTGAAGAAATTCGCARAAAGRGGAGTGGAAAARWRTCTACTTCCGTACAAGGCTYRKCATTGGCTGTYGAAAAAGGTARAKAGAARGTTGCRTYTRATGACAGGYAGCAGAMGCRTAGTARGAGRRATTGGAAGAGAGATGYTSAATGTTTTCAYTGCCACARAAAAKGYCACWTCAAGAAAAAYTGTARAATATTAAAAGAGGATCTGAARAGGTATATGRCRKAGTCAAATGYAGTTGTAGACGATGCCCTCGTCTRTGTTGAMAGCAACACAGAAAYAGGAAACCARTCATCGGAGTGGGTAATAGACAGCGCAACTTCAGTACACATATCTTTAAGTAGAAGATTATTCATATCTTTCAGAAGAGACAATTGCGGCCACGTGAGGATTGGGAATGGAAGACTTTCCAAGACTAAAGGGATTGGAAATATACGATTGAAGACCAATAGTGGGACTGAGTTATTACTGCGAGATGTCAGGTATGTACCTAGTATCAGAATGAACATTATCTCTACAGGTAAGTTGGACGATGATGGTTATCAAAGTGAGTTTGGTGGCAACCAGTGGAAGCTCACCAAAGGATCGAAGTTGGTGGCAGTTAGCCATAGAAGATCTACAGTTTACACGTCACAATTAAGTGTTGCCAAATGATCATTGAAACAGTGGATGCAAGTTGCAGATGATGTCCAATGAGGTAGGACTAAACCAGCAACAAAGACAACCAGAACGGATCAGGAGGATCTACCATCAATTCAGGAACAACAATTGGGAAGTCAAAGAACGAGAACATGTTCTTTACGTTGTCAGAGATTATCCCCAATTGTCAGACAGATGGGTGAATTGATGAAGTCGCGTCAGCGAACAGTTGCATCAGAGATGATGAACCCAGTAGGTACTGAGGTAAATAATGGAGTTTCAATTCTTGCAGTAGGCTTGAATAGAGTTGTCAAGTCATCAGTGGGAAGTTCTTTCTTCAAGAATCAGTATTTGAGAACGAAGAAGGAAGCTTAAGATATCGCCACTTAGTTTGAGTGAGAGCAAGTGGCTGTGTCTCTTGCGTCTGGGAGACAAGACCATGTAGATTGCTCGACCTCAGGGCAAAGACAGATGAGACCAGTGATTTCTAATATTTTGTTTTACAAGTTTTTAAACTTGCAGGAGAAGTCTTGAAGATTTTTTCAAGAAGATTAGAAGTTGTTGCAGTAGAAGCCTTGGAGTTTTCCAAGATTATCAGAGACTATTGCTGCAGTGGGAGGCAAGATCGATGTTTTGTCTCCAAGTGGGAGATTGTTGGGATAATAGAGCCAAAACAGATGATTCGTATCCTACGAGGAAAATGATTTTCAACACTACTACTAATTCCTATAAGAATTAGGATATTTGACCTCTTATAAATAGAACCTTTTTGTTAAGGTTTCATTTGTACATAGTCCAAATAAGAGAGACTTAAGTGGTTGTCTGCAGTGTATAAAAAAAAAGTTTGTATCTCGTGGGTTTAGTGAG